GTTTACAGTGCGAGGTGTGGTTTCCAGAGAACAAAATTGATTTCACCGTCAATCGCTGCGAGTTCCCTATGACGGGTTTCAATTTTGTTCTCTGGAAACCACACCTCGCACTGTAAACTGTCATGTACTGAATGAAACCAACCGAAGCGGTCGAGCTTGAACCCACAAACCACAAAGCTTATTTGTACTGTTATTTCGGGTGACATCCCAGTTACAGCTTTTCGGTTACATTAGCATTGAAACTGTACCACAAATGCATTATTCATTTATCAACCTGCCAGCCGATGTGCCACCACCCCCCCCTTAGACATCATTTGAACGGGCACTATTGGCGGAGGCCACGTGTTAAAACTGACATGCATTGTTGGTACACTGAATCGTGTAAGTTGGCAAAAGTTGGCTCCGGAGGGCATGCATGGCGGGAAATCTGATCAACCTAACAGGCCTCCTTTAAACCGACGATTTGCAGCTTATATCTTCAATACTTTTCCTATTCTTGTTCCTCTTCCTTATTTGGTCAGTAACACGTGGGAACAACTGCGATGGTTAGAACTGGTCCCTTTGGCCCCAAATGTACACCTTTGGTCACCTTGGTGACTCCGTGTCCGAATCTATTGTGGTTATACCAAAAAAAATCCAGTCCATCTCATCATCGTTCCGCATTGCAACGGCAAACAAGTGGATCAGTCAACGGTGTGTATAACACCCAACGAAATCTATCTTGAGGCTGCTGGAAGTGCATGTACCAGTTCTTGCAGTGAACAGTCTAAGGGTTCTGAATAATGGAACCCACAGATAGGCCGATAAGAATAGTTTATCCCGTTTGAATTCTAGTACTAAAAATGGTACGGCAAATGGGCAACACAGTGAAAAGTGGTTTGAGAAATGCAATTGTCAAGTTCAACCGAAATGTCCGGACTGTGGTGATGGTGACCCGGTGATAACGTCACCAACTATCACCTCGGATGACGTGTGTTAGAATCCCACCACCACCACCGCCTGTCTTTCCCCATTATGTGTTCTATGGCAGCTGTTTGATTGGCCGTTACCCCCTTCCTGAAAATTGTATCTTTGTATGCTCAATAAACGGAAGTAAAATGAAAAAGGCTGAAGGGGTTATGCGAAAGCCAGATCGTAGGTTATCACATTTGATACGGAGATCGACAACGGAGTAAAACAAGCGGGCAAATCACAAATAAGGGTGGGCGGTCAGACGTGTACGGAATCAATATGAGGTGGAGGTAAGCGAAATGCCTAATGAGGGTACAGGCATAACGATCGCACTCGTAAATTTTGTCTCCGGTCACCTGGACAATCGATAAAAGTGCAATCGCGGGGCATTTGGATATGTCATACAGTGGTTAAATCAAATGGCGGAATTATGTGTGTGTGCGCTGTGTACGAACACATCAGACATTTACAAAAACTGAACGAAATCATTCAACTTGATTTTTTGACATAGCACCCGTTCTGTTGAGACCTTGAATTATTTCCTGTTCCAGAGTTTGCTTTTTCGATTCCCTGCGTTGTGGAGCTTACTCCTTCCACTGGTCATCACGCCATAGTGCAATTAAAAAAAACTACCGTAACGTAAATCATGTGACGACGCTTATGTGTACAGAGCTAGAACCCCTACATCGTGCATCCAGTCCGCCTCCCCCCTCCCGCTCTAAAGAACAACAACAAAGTGATCGATGGACTGTTTTGTCACATTTTTCCCTTCATTCCCTAATACGCATACCAATGTTCTACTCTAGTCCGTAATCACACGGCTTATGGTAAAAATGGAGAGTAACAATGTGCCTGGTTCTATTCTCGGCTTCATCGTGTGTTGCGGTAGTCGACATCCTCGATTCGTTCACCTTCATTTTTTGAATTCCTTTTTCGATTCCAATTGTCAGTGTTTCAGTTTCTCTTTCTGGTGTTTCATTTTTCAAAGGGAAAAGTGGGTTCCGGTTTGCAACTGAATACTCTACGCATAACCTCAGCATTGCTCGTCCGGTTTCCCGACCGGACGAGCAATGCTGAGGTTAGGCGTAGAGTTTTAGGTAATCGCGGTCGTCCACTGGAACAGGTAGTCGACCTCCATAGATTACGCTGGTTGGGACATGTGCTACGCCTGTCACCAGGTTGGTTGCCACGGCGATCGATGTTTGCCGAGGCAGGTAGCGGTTGGAAAAAGATCAACGGAAGTCAAAAGAGGACCTGGCATGAGGGCATGAAAACTCTAACCACGAGACTGGATCACATGGATCCCGTTAGGCTCCCTGGCTGAGGACCCCGAGATGATGATCACCGATGGTTAGAGACACTGAGTGATATGGCTGGGTGTCGCAAACAGTGGCGCTCATGCATCTACTCATTATTCGTGTAATACTANGTAATACTAAGCTATATGGATTCGCTGTCTTTGGTTTGAATTTGCCCTCAACATTGTAGTCATCATTCTACTATTTTATCCAAATGGGCTACCATAAGGTTACTAAAACCGGATCACGAAAGCGCATGCTTAATATTTGTAAGAACTGAGCTGATTTGAACTCTCGAGTATGGAGTACTAGGTACTGCATGTATTCTCAGTCGTTTTGTAATTCGTCATTTGTTGGGAGCGGTGAATAATGTTTGCGTAATATCAGATTGTAATTCAATTTCGGTTTTTATCCCTTTTTATTCCTTCGAACCGCTCCATCGCCACTCGTCTCCCATTACTGTGTTTTTTTCAGACAGCCTTTGTATGACCGCGACTCCCTTCCTGAAAGTTGACTGTACATTTGTATATTCAGTAAACAAAAAAGGAAGTAAAAAGATATTCAAATTTATTTATTTAATTGATCGTATTTTTCTATCCTGTAACCAAATAACTAGTTCATCCTCCTAAACCAGGTGTATCCCATTTTTGGCTGTTCTTGTTTAGGCGGAAAGAAAGGTTCAAATACCAGCCAAGCAACCAGTGAAACTAAACCAGATTCGGTGACAGGAACGCATAGTGGCCCTAATGAGGTAAGTGATTGATGTTATTCAATCTGTTTTTCAAATGAATGTTTTTATTCATCTGCTATTGTAGTTGCACTGCTTTATAAAGTAATGATCAATAGAAGATTTTTTTTACCATGCTCCCGTTTTGTTTGCTGTCAGCGAAGGCCCTCTCACTTGCTCAGATGTAGACTGTTGTCAGTTTTTCAAATCCTGTTTTAGACGATTATTTTCAAAAGAATTGATTACTGACAAAATCTCATGTGATATCACACACGTGCACGCTACACGTGACGTTACTAAATACAACGTGTATGTTTTTTGAGTCACCAGCAATCATGGTTCAAATCGACCCCGGTGCAATATCGTCAAAGATTATTCTATCGCCATCCGAATTGCCGATCTGTGGAAGTTGACTCAACTATGAATAATCGTTCTTTTTGTTGGCAAACGTTATTCAGTTTAAGTACTTGAGCATATGATCCTCTCAGTAATAGTTGAATCTGTGATTTTGTATTGTGTAGCTATATGCGCTTTTGTACTACTAAAGAGATTCACATAAAGATTCTTATTAGTTTAAGTAGTTTGAATAGCGTAATCACCCAACAATTTCGCTCACCTGACATGAATAATCCGGTCACTGTACGAGAAACAGAGAAGGCACGAGTGATTCTTATACACAGATTCCCGCACCTGAATGACCCGGACACATTAAAATGTCAACATACGTACTTCCAAGATGGTTAGTTTGATCTCGTCAGGTCTCGTTTACTGCAGTCAGCTGCCTCTTTCATTCGTCAGACCATCGTGGAGTCAACTCGAAGATAATGAAAGTAACTTTTCGACCACCATAGATGTCTTACAGTCGTGGTACGAGAACAGGAGCAAGTGACCACCGGAACTACACCTGAGAACCCAGGACCGAATAGTCGTTATTCGGCAAAAGATATCACTACCACACAAACTGGGTTTCCACGGGCTTGGTGTTTGTTCCCGCAAACGGTCGATAAGACTCAACACACTTCCCGCAAAAGCTTCACTTAATCTACCTCGATGCAGTCGGCTCAATTATTCCTTTATACCCCATCGAGTCTCTACTCCGGCACCAACTGCATTGTTTCTATACCAATTCCTTAGGTTTCCCTCAACAAATTTTCACAAATGGAACTGCGTTCCCATACTGATCAATGAGACGTTAGTGCGGTTATTGAATCTTGGCTGACAACCGATATTCCGGACCGAATCACACTTCCTCGGCATGACGCACTGCTCAGACGCGATCATCAAACGAAGGGTGACGGTATGCTGCTCTAAGTGAACCCTGTTGTCGCGTTTGACTCATTTTCGTGCAAAGTTCAACTATCGCAGCACGATATCGGCTTGATCGGTGTGGTTTACCGTTCTCTTTCATCCAAAGATAACCAATAATACAGTGCTACAAATCACATATCACATTCCGACATTGAAATTCATGCATGTCTTCAATATGGGCAACGCACACTAGCCAATGGTGGATAAACCAGTGACCTCGCTACAGTCGTTTGTAAAGAAACCAACGATGCTTGTAGCCAACCAGTCATCCTCGGTCTTGGACTTGGCGTCAAAAAGCGAGGGCTGGATGACGAAAAACAATTTCCACCGAGACCCCATTGGGGTGTACTGATTATACCCTACTGTTGTTGTTTCAGTACATTTGTTATGCATTAGTGTAAATTTCTGCGGCTAACTGCTGTACTTTTATTGATTATACCAAACTTCAAATTTTGGAGCAGTACTTCCGCCGGATTTTCCTCAGCGAGTGCCCCTGGTATCCTAGCCACAATTTATGAAATACTAACTGTCGTGATAAGGGTCAACTCTT